TGAGGCCCATCCCAGAGACCCCCACACCCGGACCTCTGAGGCCCATCTCACAGGCCCCCCACACCTGGACCTCTGAGGTCCATCCCACAGACCTCGACACCCAGAGTCTCTGGGACACATCCCCTTCCTTCCGTGGCCGATGTCCGTGTCTCTGGGACACATCCCCTTCCTTCCTTGGCTGAGGTCCGTGTCTCTAGGACACATCTCTCTCCTTCCTTCCGTGGCTGCAGGACCTTGAGCCAGCAGTGTTCAGATCATCCCATTCCACAACCTGCCTTCCATGGTGGTCTCCAGGCTTGACAGTAGGCCCCTCTACAAAGAGCCTGCTGCCTCTTGCCTGCATTCCAGGTGGCCAGTCTGTGTGGTCTTCCCAGCCCACCCACCTCCCCAACCCGTGGCCAAGCACGGAGGCCAGAGTAGAGGCCCTGGCTTTGTCAGCCCACAGCTTTGACCCTGGCCCTGCACCACTCCTGGCCTCCTGGGGCCTCACCACCTCATCAGCTGCCTCACTCGGTCACACTGTGCAAGCAAATGTACTTGGCCTCTTGCCCCAGACCCCCCCCCCCCCACAGTGCCCCTGCTGGGGGGACCCCCTTGCTTCCTGAATCCCAAAGCGCTTTTTCCTGCTTGGTTTGGGGAACTTCCTCCTTCCTGAGAAAAGGGTTCAGGAGAGAGCATTGCTGTGACTTTTCCCTCACAACCGGCAAGCAACTGAGTTTGTCCTGGGCTTGGCACCACTGCTGAAAAGCTAGGGTCCCGCTTGCCACCCTTGGGGTGTGTAAGGCACTCCGTCCCCAGCAGCTAAACCCACAATGACATGCCCGAGGGTAGCCTGTTCGTTCTGAGCAGGGCCCTTCCTGGGCACGGGGCTCTCCGGCTGCAGACCCGCTCTGGACATCTTGTTACTTTCCTGGATAACTTCCTCTCTACTGCTGTCTTCTCATTCTGAGGCCACTCCACTGGAATAATCTTTGAATTTTGGTATCTGCTTCTTTCCATTTTCTGCCCTGCTTTTCATTACACTTTCTAGAAGGGCTTCTCATCTTTTTTGAGACGGAGCTTCACTCTGTGGCCCAGGCTGGAGTGCAATGGCGCGACCTCAGCCTCCCAGGTTCAAGTGATTCTCCTGCCTCAGCCTCCTGAATAGCTGAGATACAGGTGCACACCAACATGCCTGACTAATTTATATATTTTTAGTAGAGACAAGGTTTCATCACAAGGTTGGCCAGACTGGTCTTGAACTCCTGACTTCAAGTGATCCACCCACCTCAGCCTCTCAAAGTGCTGGGATTACAGATGTGAGCTGCCACGCCCGGCCTGAACTGCTTTCTACTGTTCACACAAGCCAAATCACCCTTCTCTTCTACACAGACTGCTCCTTCTTCCTTGGGGCCTGGCTAGCCCTCACACATCCTCCAGTGACTCAGTTTACACTCTCTTCTTCTGGAAACCTCTGCCTGGGCCCCAAGGCTGGGCGAGAAAAGGCTCGATGTCCCTTATCAGTACGCCTCTCCCCAGCAGCAGGTGTTTCCGGGCACTGTGACTGTCCATTAGCTGCTTCTGCCACAGTGCGAACTCTGTGAGGACGAAAGCTGGATGCTGGGTTCACAGCCGAATCCCCAGACTCAGGCTGTGCTAGGAAGATAGTATGTGCTGAAAACATGGTCAGAGAATTAACATTCCCCGAGGGTCATACAGTCTAGAGAATCGCACGAGACACAGACTAGATGCACACATAGCCCTGGAAAACTAAGAAAGGTTAAAATGGATAATGAGGCTATTTGGTGGCCAGGACGAGTTTATTAGAGAGAGCAACCAAAGCCCCCAGCTCCACTCAAGGACGTCCTCAAATCCACCTCGGAAACTGCATCAGATGGAGGAGGAGAGCTATTGACTGCACCTGGAATCCAGGCAATGAAAACGTGGCCAGAGGCGAGGGCGCAGGTCTGAGGGGCCACAGGAGGCCAGCCTTACCTTCATGTTGTCAGGCGGGTCTCCTTGGCCTGTGGTTGCACAAACAAATATCACCAGGGGCTCGTGGATCAGATTCGCCTCAACAAAAAGACACACACACGTAAGACCTCCGGCCGGAGGCGCCGGCGGCCCTCCCGAACCCCGGCCCTCCTCTCCTCGGCTCCGGCTGACAGGGCAGAGGGATTCACGTGCGCGGCCAGACCGGGTCGGGCTCCAACCTCCTCCCCTTCTCCTAAATCCGCCACAAGGGAAGGACCCGGTCCCAGGCTAAATGCGACGCCTTTTGGGTCGATGACCCCGAGGGGCGGGCACCCAGGCCTGCTCGTCCCCCGCCGAGGCCCCCGCGAGCCCTCACCACCGGGTAGGAGTCCAGGCCCTGCACCCGGCAGCCAAGCCGCCGGCGCCGGGCTTCGCGACCCAGCCTCTCCGACACATCCTGAGCCGTGCCTGTCTGGCTGCCGAAGAGCACCAGAAGCTGCGGGGCCGCCATCGCGGCGCGCCCGGGGACTCCGGGCCGGAGACCGAAGACCAGGAGGCAGCTCCCGCCGGCAGGGCTGCAGGGACCACCCCGCCTTCCGCTGTCGGCCGGAAGTGACGCAGTAGGGACGCGCCCGGCGGGGCATGGCGTCCGAGCGAGGCCGGCGTCCGCGAGCTGCCGGTGTTGGGTCCCGGGCCGGGGCGTCCGCGAGCTGCCGGTGTTGGGTCCCGGGCCGGGGCCGGGCGGTTGGCGGCGAACCAGCGCCGAGGGCTGGGGCTGGCGGGGACGCTCGCCGCCTCTCGCTCGCAGCAGCGGCGGCACGCACGGGCGAGGGCCACGGGGAGAGGACACGCAGCTCCGCGGGTGGCACGCTCGGCCGGGCCCCGGCCCGCGCTCAACGGGCGCGATGCTCTTCTCGCTCCGGGAGCTGGTGCAGTGGCTGGGCTTCGCCACCTTCGAGATCTTCGTGCACCTGCTAGCCCTGTTGGTGTTCTCCGTGCTGCTGGCACTGCGTGTGGATGGCCTGGTACCGGGCCTCTCCTGGTGGAACGTGTTCGTGCCCTTCTTCGCCGCTGACGGGCTCAGCACCTACTTCACCACCATCGTGTCCGTCCGCCTCTTCCAGGACGGAGAGAAGCGGCTGGCGGTGCTCCGCCTTTTCTGGGTCCTCACGGTCCTGAGTCTCAAGTTCGTTTTCGAGATGCTGTTGTGCCAGAAGCTGGCGGAGCAGACTCGGGAGCTCTGGTTCGGCCTCGTCACGTCCCCGGTCTTCATTCTCCTGCAGCTGCTCATGATCCGCGCGTGTCGGGTCAACTAGCCTCTTCGAGGTGCCAGAGAGAGAGCGCTGGACGGCTAGAATGCTGACCTCAAGCCGAGGTCCTACTTGCGCTGCACCGGAGGAGAGGTTCTTTGGTCGGAAGGCAACTCCTGCTTGCGCCGAGCTGAGTGCCCAGTGTTTCTATTCCAATCATGTCTGAAATGGTTTCTTCAGCAGGGCTTAAAAGAGCAGCCTTCATCCTTAAAATGTATTTCCTTTTATTTCATGAGTTGAGTAGGTAATCCTGAATTGTCCTGAGGAGGGCCCCAGGGCAGACAGTCCTGAACTCCTCTGACACTCGGAAACTGAATATAAGTAAAATGTCCAGGTGGACTCTATTTCCTGTGGGTCCTGGGAAAGTAGTGCTGCACAAAGGCCGCAAAGCTGGACTCGGGGATGTCCTGCAACCACAGCGCTGACCTAAGAGCTCCCTGCACCGTCCATCCGAACCAGACTTCGGTAGATGTGTTCTTCAGATCTATCAAATGTAAACGAGCTTGTATCTCCTCCCCTGTGCCAAGAGAGAGGTTGACTCTTTATTTCAGTCTAGGCAGAGACAGAAGAATGTTGAATAAGAGCACAATTAGGGTCTTGTCTGGTTATCTGTTGCCCAAGAAAAGAACTCTGCTGTCCAGGCGCTGTTTGGCTTCCTATCCCAGCAAAGGCTGCAGTTTTATGGACTTTTTCACCACCTTGTGGCTGGCACCGTTAGCACAGCTGAGACAGATTTAAGCCTCCCTAAGAGACTGAAGAGAGGAACAGGTGTTGGATACTCAATAGGCATTGAGACCTACAAATGGCAAGCTTGTGAGTGGCCCAGCTTTGTTCGCCTACAAACTTTGGTTTAATGCCACTCAGGTGCCAAATGAGAACCTTTGCTGAGATGGAATAAAGTAAGAGAATGTTTTCCTGAAATGAATAGTGTTTGGCTGTGCCTCTGAAGGGTTAAATAGGGTGAACATTGAGATACTTCTGCTACATGGTATAACTGGTGACAGAGCTGTGGTTTTAGATGGATTGAAACCTGTGGCTAGAGCTCAGTGGATGGTGGTGGTGGGAATCACTTGTTCTGGAGAATCCCTCCTTCCTGCTCTAGGAGGCGGGTAATTCAGGCACCCCCAATCCCCCCGGATGAAGACAGCTATCTGGGCCCATGTTTGTTGAATAGTTTGTGATCGCAGAGCCCATGGCTTTTTGCCAGTGTGTGGTCATTGTGGCCTTGTTGGCACTCGGTAGAGCAGGGACCAGCAAACAGTGTCCTAAGGTCTGTTTTTGTATGACCCTTGAGCTGAGGATGGTTTTTATACCCCTAAAGAATTAAAAGCAAAACGTGTGACAGAGAGTGAATGTGATCCTCAGAGTCCAAGGTCTCTTAATCGGCACTCTTGGCCTTTGAGGCCAGAAGATTCTTTAGTGAGGATGCTGAACAGTGGGAGTGAGTTTCCTTGTAATGTTATTTCTAGATTTTCTGTTTTATGTGTTCCCCTGTTTTATTTTGGTAGTTCAGAATTGGGTAACCCTATTAGTGTAGAAGTGATGAACAGCACACACTTCCTTCTTAGAAAGTGATTGGAGGAGGACTGTAAGGCAGGAGACACTCGGCTTCTGGAAGGCTGAAATGAAAGTTTATTTTGGCCGGGTGCAGTGGCTCACGGCTGTAATCCCAGCACTTTGGGAGGCTGAGGCAGGCGGATCACAAGGTCAGGAGTTTGAGACCAGCCTGGCCAACAAGGTGAAACCCCATCTCTACTAAAAATACAAAAATTAGCTGGGCGTGGTGGTGGACACCTGTAATCCCAGCTACTCGGGAGGCTGAGGCAGGAGAATCGCTTGAGCTTGGGAGGTGGAGGTTGCAGTGAGCCGAGATTGCACCACTGCATTCCAGCCTCGGCCACAAGAACAGGAATCTGTCTAAAAAAAAAAAAAAAAGTTTATTTTATCCAGCTTAATGGAGTGGCAGGAGAATCAGGCAGCATTAAGGAGGTGGCATTGCGGATGTTATGGGGCACAGAAGGTGAGAAGGCCATCCCCAGATTAAAAAAAACAAAAAAACAAAAAACCTCTGCGTCTTTGCAGAGACCCGAGTGACCTTGGAGCCCTGTCCCTGAAAGGCAAGTGGTGTGGGAAACAGCAGTGTCTACTGGAGCAGGCTGCTGACTGCAGGGCAGGTGACAGAAAGACGGTGGTGTGCACTGCAGTCCCCCTTCTCCCCATGGCTTCAAGCGATCTGCCTATTGTCTGCAGGCTTGAAAGACTGTGGGAGCATTCCACAGCCCTTCCTGGGGTGGAAGCCTTGGGCTTCGCGGGGACTTGTCAGCCTGGAGGCTGTGCCCTCAGGGTCATGGCATACCGAGCCTTGGGATGGGGAGAAGTTCAACAGATGAGAGGAGTGGCCTTAACGTGGCAGCAGGGTGGAGTGATCACACAGGGGCGGGCTCTGTGAGGCCCACCGTTACCCTGACTTTTTTTGGCTGTTTCTGCATGGGAGAGCTGTCCAAGCATGCAGAGCCCTGGTGAAACAGCTTGTGTTCGCGGGGGCGGGGGAGAGGCTACTTCCTTTGTGCCTACTCCTGCGGATGCTTTGGTTTGGGGGGGACCACGGATGGCAAGGCTGGGTTAAGAGGCTCCCACCTGGGCAGCCTATGAGACACTGATTCGCTGGGGCTGGGCGGGGCTCCTGAATTGGCATTTCCAGACCCCGCAGGCACCTGCCGGAGGTCGGAGGACCACTGGTGAAAGCAGGGTCTGGGCCAGTGTGTGGCCTGTGCACGGCGCACGGGCGCGGGTGCCTTCGGTCCTGGAGCAGCCCTCTTCCTGCACCGCGCTCTCAGCGGAGGGAACAGGCGGCCTGGGTGCTGGCCGCGTAAGGAAGCCCAAGCTCGCCCAAGGTCACTCGGGGCGCGGGGCCCAGGGGCCGCCCACCCTGCTCCGCCCGGGACGCCGGGAGCCGGGAGCCAAGACGCGGAAGCGGCCACTGGGCTGCGCGAGGCGCCGGGGCGTGTCCCAGGGGCCTTCCCCGATGGGGGCGGCTCCGGCGGCAGGCGTCGTCCAGTGAGGTCCCTTGGGAGGCGGGGTTGAGGCGAGTGTTGTCCAATCGGTGGGGTCACTGAGGGTCCCGCCCCCTCCCCTGCTATAGGTGGGCCTCCCGCGCGGGGCGGGGCGAGCCGGCCTCCCCCAATGGGCGGTGGCCGGGAGGGGGCGTGGCCGCGGTGCCCGGGCCTGCAGCGGCGGCGGCGGCCCCTCAGGCGCTCAGTCCCGCCGTCCGCGGCCGCGTCCACAGCATGGCCGCGCTGGGGCGGCCGGGCCCGGGGCCGCGCTCCGCGCTGCCCGCCTGGAAGCGCGAGATCCTGGAGCGGAAGCGGGCCAAGCTGGCCGCGCTGGGCGGGGGCGCGGGGCCCGGCGCGGCGGAGCCCGAGCAGCGGGTGCTGGCGGAGAGCCTGGGCCCGCTGCGCGAGAACCCGTTCATGCGGCTGGAGGCCGAGCGGCGGCGCGGCGCTGGCGCGGCGGGGGCGCGGCTGCTGGAGCGGTACAGCCGCGTGCCGGGCGTGCGCGCCCTCCGCGCCGACAGCGTCCTCATCATCGAGACGGTGCCCGGCTTTCCGCCCGCGCCGCCCGCCGCGGGGGCCGCGCAGATCCGCGCCGCCGAGGTGCTGGTGTACGGGGCGCCGCCCGGCCGCGTCAGCCGCCTGCTGGAGAGGTTCGACCCGCCCGCCGCGCCGCGCCGCCGCGGGAGCCCGGAGCGCGCCCGACCCCCGCAGCCGCCGCCGGCGCCGCCCCGGCCCCCGCCCGCGGCTCCCAGCCTGCCCGCCGCGCCCGGGCCCTGCAGTGGCGGGGCGAGCCCCGGGGCCCGGCGCAGCGACTTCCTGCAGAAGACCGGGAGCAACTCCTTCACCGTCCACCCCCGGGGTCTGCACCGCGGCGCGGGCGCCCGCCTGCTCTCCAACGGGGCCTCGGCCGCTCAGCCCCGGGCCAGCCCTGCCAACGGCCTCGCGGGCTCCCCGCCCGGGTCGGGACAGTGGAAGCCAAAGGTGGAGCCGGGGGATCCCTCCCTCCACCCGCCCCCCAGCCCTGGGACCCCGAGTGCCACTCCAGCCGCGCCCCCTGCCAGTGCCACTCCCAGCCAGCGCCAGTGCGTCTCCGCGGCCACCAGCGCCAACGACTCCTTCGAGATACGGCCGGCCCCCAAGCCAGACATGGAGACCATTCCCTCGGGGGACCTCCAGGCCCGGGCGCTGGCCAGCCTCCGCGCAAACTCTCGAAATTCCTTCTTGTTCATCCCCAAGAGCAAGGACTCCCGGGCCCCTCCTGCTGAGGGGAGGCAGTCCTCGGAGCTGCCAAAGGGAGACGTGGGCCGGAGCACCCCGAGCCAGGAGCTCGGAGCCCAGCTGGTGCCTGGAGGAGATGGTTCTCCTGCCCTGGGGAAGAATCCCCTGGAGGTCCAGGCACAGTGGGCAGTCGATGAGGGGCCCTGTCCAAGGGCAGCCACTGCACTCTCTGACCGAGCCGTCAGGTGGCAGAGGTCGTCCTCACCGCCCCCCTTCCTGCCGCCTGCCGCGGAAGAAGCTGAGCCTGCCGAAGGCTTCAATGTTCCTGGCTTGGCCAAGAATAGCCAGGAACACGGGAGGCCGGGGCTGCCTGTCACCTTCATTGATGAGGTAGACTCGGAGGAGGAGGCCCCCCAAGAAGCCAAACTCCCCTACTCCACTCACCCTGCTAGGCCCGGGTGCGTGGCGGAGCTCCAGCCGAGAGGCAGCCATACCTTCACAGTGGTGCCCAAGAGGAAGCCAGGGCCCCTGCAGGAGCAGCACTTGAGTCAGGCTGATGGGGGCCCCCGGCCACTGGAGGCTGAGGAAGAGGAGGCTGGTGGCCTCCTGGGGCCCACGCTGAAGAAGCGCTACCCCACGGTGCATGAGATTGAGGTGATTGGCGGCTACCTGGCCCTGCAGAAGTCCTGCCTCACCAAGGCCGGCTCCTCAAGAAAGAAGGTCAGTGGTGGGGGCAGGGCCACTGGCCGGGAGGGAGAGAGACAGCTCACAGAGCTGTGGGGGCAGCATCTGCCCTGATCCTGGGACGCCTGGCCGGGGCAAAGGATGGTTTCTACGTGCACTGGAGGAGAGCTGGGGCTGGGTGAGCCATGTCCGGTCCAGGGCCCCAGTGGAGCCCCGTGACTTGGGCCGTGGGAACAGCTGGAGAGTACCAGGAAGACAGTGCTGTGCCTCCTGCCAGCTCTTGTGGCTCATCTGGAATTAGCTAGGCGGGCCTGTCCCTTTGTGAGTCCAGCTGGAAGAAGCAGACCTGGGTTTGTAGGCTCTTCCCTGGGCTTGGCTTTGAGGGGTGGCCTCCCATGGTCTCCTGGAGGCCCAGCTGCATGGGTGCCAGGCACCAGGATGTGAGTGGTAAGAGGCCAGTGCTAGGGGTTGGCTGTGTCCCTTCATCATGGCTAGCCCTGGGGTGCAGCTCACCAGCCAGTTGGAGTTGGCTGTCAGCTCCTCAGAAGGGACACTGGCCAGGAGTCGGGCAGAAGTGCCGAATGAGTGCTTAGTGTGTGCCTGATCTGGGCCTGGGAAGCTTGCTGGGGAGAAGGGCCCTTCGGAGGCTCTCAGCAGCCAGGCAGGGGAGCCTCCCTCCTCAGCCAGCTCTGGCCAGTGGCCTGGAACCCTCTGGGCACAAGAAAAAAAAATCCTCAGATTCTTCCTGGTCATTCCTGCACCTATATTTGTTTCCTGGGGCAAATTCCAAGGGCAGTTCCACGTGACTCCCCTGTCGGAAGTGACCTGTCGGGAAGCAGGTGTGCCTTCCCCAGGGACTGAGAGGTGGCCTGGGGTGTCTCCCTTGGCTTTTCCTGTCCAGGCACTGCCCCAGAGCTAGTACTGGCTAGGTCACCCCAGGCAGCCTGTTCTCCAGCCTCAGTTTCCCTGGTATGGGGGCTGGGGATGAGACCTTGCAGGCTCCCTCCACAGACAGGCCACTGCCTGCCTCTGTTTGCTTCCTGCCTGGGATTGGATTTGGCATCTCACCTCTTCCAGTGCCATCCTCCCCCTCCTGGAACCAGGGCGTTGGCACTCATGTGGGCTCCATCTGCCAACCCAGGCGTCTCTGCTGACTCTCCTGAGGTGCCTCCAGTGGGGGCTCGGGTTCGGGCCCGGGGCCCCTCCCACCCCTGGAGCCACGTGGGTCCGTCTTCCCTACCCTCTCCCGAGTGTCACCCCAGCCCATTGAGGTGGGGTCGATCTGATGGACACGGCCTCTGTTCTCCAGCTCCTGTCTGCCTCTCCCTCCCCGGCATCCGTACCCCTGGCCCTGGCTGCTGTGTGAGGTGGGCGCTTCTGGGCTTGCCCCAGTGGCCGAAATGGGGACGGTGCCCACTTTGTAGAGAGGAAACTGCCTAAGCTCGGGAGTCGGATGGGGTCATGGAGCTTGTGGGGCGAGAGCTGAGTTCAGGTTCTTGTTTCTAGAGCCCCTCCCAAACCCGTGTAGCCATCCCTGGAAACCTGGCTTCTTCCTGGGACTCGAGGCCATTGCCTGGAGCCTGGCCATCCTGCCCTCAGAAGGGACAGAACTGGGCCAGGCGTGATGGCTCACACCTGTAATCCTAACACTTTGGGAGGCCGAGGATGGTGGATCACGAAGTCAGGAGTTCAAGACCAGCCTGGCAAAGATGGTAAAGCCCTGTCTCTACTAAAAAAAGACACAAAAAAATTAGCCGGTCATGGTGGCAGGTGCCTGTAATCCCAGCTACTCAGGAGACTGAGGCAGATAATTGGTTGAACCTGGGAGGCGGAGGTTGCAGTGAGCCGAGATCGTGCCACTGCACTCCAGCCTGAGTGACAGAGAGAGACTTCATCTTAAATAACAAAAAGGTACAGAACTGTGGGGGGTCATTTGTGGCTGGGTTAGGGTGGGAGGGTAGGTTGGGGGCTTGAAGCCCAGCAGGGACAGGAAGACAGAAGTGGGGGAGAGGCTGAGCCTGGGAAGCAGGCCCTAGACCAGCAGGAGGTCAGAGCTCGGGCCAGCCTGAAGGGGTGGGGGTCCAGATGGACGATGCCTGGCGTGGCCAGGTGGCCCGGGCAGGGCCTGCCAGAGCAGCATGACTTGCTGGCTGTGACTTCCTGCCTGGGTACACGCCAGCTGCCCTGCCTGGGAAGAGCTAGAATGTCCATCAGGAGGGGACGGAGGCACGGGGCTGCCCTGCCTTTCAGAATGGCTTGCTGGCCTTGGCACAGTGGGCTGTGGGCCAGGGGTCTTCCATGGACTGTGCAGCCTGTGGGCCAGGAGCACTCACAGGTGGGGTGCAAGGTGCCCCTGCAGGTCCTTCACCTGGCCTTGCCTGACCACCCTGGCCAACCTTTTTTTATGTTTTAATTTTTTGAGACGGAGTCTCACTGTGTCTCAGGCTAGAGTGCAATGGCACAATCTTGGCTCAGGGCAACCTCCACTTCCCGGATTCAAGCAATTCTCCTGCCTCAGCCTCCAGAGTAGCTGGGATTACAGGCGCCTACCACCACACCCAGCTAATTTTTGTATTTTTAGTGCAGATGGGTTTCACCATGTTGGCCAGGATGGTCTTGAAACTCCTGACCTCAGGTGATCTGCCCACCTTGGCCTCCCAAAGTGCTGGGATTACAGGTGTGAGCCACTGCATCCAGCCCAGTGTTCAGTTGGAACTACTGGCTGCCACCCCAGGGCATGGGGTGGAGTGAAGGGCCCAGAGTCCTGCCGGACACAACTGGGGGCAGCGGGTGGTGGTGGTGCTGCTTTTCCTGGGGTGCAGGTGAAGGGCAGCTCTTCAGTGGAGTTGTCTGGGTGGTGGGGGTCGGTGAGGGGCCTGCCCTGGGAATGGCTGTCCCCGCACAGGGTACGATGCCCTTGCCCGCGTCTGAGGGGTGCAGGCCTGCTCTGGACAGGCTGAGTCTGGGGGGCTGCTGGTCTATGCACCTGCGGGACCTAGGCTGGGCTGGGTTATCCACTGGCAGAATCCGCAGGTGCCCTGTGTAGGCAGGGCAGCCACACCCCAGGCTGTTTTCCTGGAGGGTGGGGCGTCTCTCCTCACACCTGCCTCCCATGGGAACGCTGCAGCCTTTCCTCTTCCTGGAGTGCCACCTGGCCTGGCTCCTACCAGTCTGGCTGCCCCTTCCCTCCCCTCTGCCCTCTTCCCCTCCGGACTCTGCCCATCTCGAACATGTCAGTGTCCCCAGGGCTTGGTCCTGGACACCCAGAGCTGTCCGCCCTCACCTGCTGTGCAGCTTCCGTCTCCACTCCCAAGGCCTTGCTCTCTGATCCTTACACCCAAGGGTGCCACCCTGACATCTGCCTTTCCTACCGATGCCCCTCCTGGCCAGCACCAAGCCCCCAGCCTGGGCTCCTCCTTGCCTCTCTCCCCATTTGCTGGGCAGATCCTAGGTGGCCAGGGGCTGTCGCATCTCATCGTTGGTGGCTGGGTCCCTGTCCTTCCCACCTCTCTACCAGCTCTTCCCATAGGTGACACTTAAGTGGTCTCTCTGGAGCCAGGGACCCCAGGAACAGACCTGGACCCTGCTCCTTCCAGCTTTCTCATGGGTGGAGGCTGTGCCTGACGCTGGGGGCCGAGCTTTGCTCGGAGAGCACCCAGCATCTCGGGAGCCTGCTGTGGACATTGCCCCCGGCAGCCTGGTCTGGTGTCCCATCACCCTCGGGACCTTTGGCTGGGGCCGAGTCGGGGATGGGAGGCAGGCAGCCACGCCCAGGGAAGGAGGGGCAGGGCTGGGCTCCGCTCACACCTCCATCTGGGCAGGTTGGTCCTGGCTGCTGGGCCCTTTGTCCCGGGTGGAGGCCCTTTGGTAACCAAAGCTAGGCAAGGTAGGTGGAGCAAGAACAAAAGGGCCCTGAGAGGCCCAGGCTGTGCCCGGAAGCTCGGCTAAGGGACCCATCTGCCTGCTGTGTTGGCTGCGCCAGGCGAAGTCCCTAATAGGCTGTGGCCAAGTGTGTGCAGTGCCAGCCCCCAGCCACACCCTTGCCCATCCTGCATCCTCGGGTCTGCAGGTTGCTCATGGCATGAGTCATGGGGTGTCCTGTGACGCCCTGACCTGTCCCGACAGTGGGATGGGAGGGTTGTGAGCCTGAGCTGACACCAGCCCAGCTGGGGAGACCTGGGGAGGCAGGATGTGACCAGAGCCCTGGGCCCCAGCTGAGTGCAGATGGGCTGCCTGTCCACCCCGCCCCCCACTGCCTGGCCAGGCTGTACCAGGCTCAGGGCCCATGTGCACCCAGCCCCTGCGGCCCCCCTGCTGGGACCGGTCATGTGCATGAGCGAGGGCGCTAATCCTCGGCCCTGGCAGCCGGCCCTGCTGTGTTCCCAGCCATGGGGGCTGGGCCTAGAGGGCTTCAGGGTCATCTGGGTGAGCTCCACAGAACCAGGGTGGCTGGAAGCCCCATTTGCTTTGGGGCTTTGGGCCTGTGGGCGACCTCTGGCCCACCAGCCTCATTCTGCCTGGAGCATCTCCACCTGGGGTATCTGTCCCAAAGCATGAGTCTGGGAGGGCTGGGTGACCCCATTCCTAAGCAGGCTGGAAGTGGGTGGGCGCCTGTGGGGTCTGGTGGCCAATCCATTGTCCCAGCCTCTGCCTGCCTGGCCGCCCGTGGGGTGACTGCTAGGCCGGGTGGACCTAGCTACAGGCAAGGCAGTCAAGGAACAGGAGCAGATGTCTGACAGCTTGTTTTGTCTAATCCAGATGGCCTCCCCGTCCCTGCTCATCAGTGCAGATGGCTGGGGCGCCGCGGCCTGGGGTGGGAATGCAAGCAGGCAGCTGAGTGGCCGAGCAGGGCTCCGTGTGGGCTGTGCTGAGGGTGAAGCTGGAGGTCTGGGCACAAAGGGTGGACCCCCGGCTGTGTTCATAGTAAGGGGCCTAAGGGTGCGCTTGGCTGTGTGGGCCGTGTGGCCGCTGCCGGAGAGGGTGTGATGGCGGGAGTGTGTGTCCTGGGCCCTGTCCTGGCAGCCCTGTGTGGCTGCCTCTTGAGGCTGTCTCTTGCCCTCCTGTCCCTGGCTGCAGTGGTTCGCTGCCTGGGGCCCGGCTCCTACCTCCGGCTCCTTCTAGGGGAGGAGGAGGAACTTGAGCTGCTGGTGTCTTGTGCCCAGGAAGAGTTTAATATTTCCAGCTCCAGCCGGGCTCCTCCATCTGCTGCAGGCGGGTGCCACTCACATTCATCAGGCACCGCTGTCCCGGGCTGAGTGCAGCTGAGCAGGCCTGGTGGGAGCTCGGCCCCACACAAGCCCGGTCAGGGGAAGTGGAGAGTCCTGGCCGTTGGCCCCCACTGCCCCCATTGCCTCTGGGAACCAGCAGGGCTGCCTGGGCTTCAAGGCCGCTGGGAGAAGGAAAGCATTTGCTCAGATGTGAAATCCTGCAGTCTACGAAGTGGGCATAGTGGGCGATGGCCAGAGGGGCAGCAGGGTGAGGGAGGGGTCATTGATGGGGCCGCTGGCACCCAGGCTCAGTGGAGGCGCCCCCCCTACTCTACACAGCCTTAGGCCAACTCTCAGCTGTTAGGTGGGTGGTGCCTGGGGCCTGCGCCCAGCTTCGATGCCTTACAGAGGCCCTTGTTGGCAGTGGGGGTCTGTGCTCTGCTGGATTGTCCATGCATCCAGTAAGCCAGGACATGAACTTGGCTTTAGAGAGACGCCGCAGACACCAACAGGAGCTGCCTGGAGCCTAGAGTGCAAGGCCTCTGAGGGCGCTGCCTCACTTCCGCCCTGTTCTTGCTGTAGAGCTGCTCGGTCGGGGGGACATGCCCACCCAGTTTCCCCCAGCTGGTGCTATGTCCAGATGGCAGAGCAGGAGAATCCTGAGATGGCAGCCCAGGGAGCAGCTCTAGAGGCTTCTGAGGACTCAGAGGCTTGGGCTTCTGGTCCTGGTCAGCGTCTGGTCCCTGGCTGGGGTGGGAGGGGATGTTGGCCCCCAGGGTGGAGGGGATGGATACAGCCTGCAGGGTCCACATGGAGAGGTCTTCCCCCACTTCCTGGAGCCCCCGAAGGGCTGATGGTGTATGCGGCTCCCCAGTCAGGTCGGCCTCACCTTGAGGGCTGAACCTGAGCCCCTGGCATCCCTGCGTCCAGCTGGGCACAGCAGCCCTGGTTCACGTCTCCAGCCCCTGGCATCGCTGCGTCCAGCTGAGCACAGCAGCCCTGGTTCACTTCCCCAGCCCCTGGCATCCCTGCATCCAGCTGGGCACAGCAGCCCTGGTTCACGTCCCCAGCCCCTGGCATCCCTGCATCCAGCTGGGCACAGCAGCCCTGGTTCACTTCCCCAGCCCCTGGCATCCCTGCGTCCAGCTGGGCACAGCAGCCCTGGTTCACTGGACTCTCCCTCCCAGATGAAGATCTCCTTCAACGACAAAAGCCTGCAGACCACGTTTGAGTACCCTTCCGAGAGCTCCCTAGCGCAGGAGGAAGACGTGGAGGGGGAGGAAGAGGAGGAGGAGGAGGAAGAAGAGGAGGAAGAGGAGGAGGAGGGGTCCTGCTCAGAGGAGAAGCCCTTTGCACTCTTCCTGCCCCGGGCCACATTTGTGAGCAGCGTGAGGCCCGAGAACGCTTGGCTGCCCGAGGGTAGCTCAGGTGAGTGCCCACCTAGGGGTCGGGTAGCCTGGGAGGGGCGGAGCCTGGTCTATGTCCTCACGTCCGCCTGTGCTCCTCGGTCCACAGGCCTGTCCAGCTACACCCCGAAGCACTCTGTGGCCTTGAGCAAGTGGCAGGAGCAGGCGCTGGAGCAGGCACCGAGGGAGGCAGAGCCCCCACCCTTGGAGGCCATGGTGAGCTGCGGAGCGTGAGTGCTGGGGGGCCTGACGCCTGGGTGAGCCCATGCGCCCACATTCTGTCCTCTTTCTCAGCTGACACCTGCCAGTCAGAATGACCTCTCGGACTTCCGCAGTGAGCCAGCCCTGTACTTCTGAGCCCAGCTGTGGGAGTCCTGGAAGCTGGGCAGTGGCCAGGGACTACTGCGCCTTTCTGCCTCGTCTCGTCTGGCCTCACCGTATCCCCACCCCTCCTAGCCCTGGAAGCAGCCAGGTGCCTCCTGCTGTCGGGGCCAGGTCTGGGTCTCTCTCCCTGGCCCAGGTTTGGGGGAGTCCGAGGGGGAGTGAGGTGGGGTGCTGCCCGTGGGTGAGGGCCAGGGGCCTGCAGGGTGGTGGCCATCTGCGACCGGGGAGGGGGGGAGCTGTGCAGATTCTGCACCAGGCCGTTCCCTATTCCGCCCCTCAGCCTGGCCCTCTGTGACGAGTGGCGTCTTTCCTGCCTCTGATGACGGACGCAATAAACAGCACTGTACCAAGCTGCTGGTGCCCACACCACGCGATCCTTGGCTGGAGGGGAGCAGGGGCAGGTCTCTGTGGGAAGAAGCCACCTGGGGTGCAGTGGGCCCAGCTTGCACGTCTGTGCCAGGGTGTGTGGGAGGTGACCACAGTCTGGTGCCCCCATGCCTTGATGCCCCAGCGGCCCAGGCTCTGACCCCCGACTGCCATGGCCTGTTAACCTGTTGCCCCCGACTTTGCGGAGGTGGGATGCCAGGCCTGCTGTCGGGGCCTAGACCTCACGTGGGAGGGGAGAGCGCTGAGCTTTTGGGCCTGAAGTGCTTCTCTGAGGGGCCCAGAGCCTGGGATGGGACCAAGGGCAGGTCAGCACGGGGCAGCACAGGAGTTGGTGTCTCCTGTTGCACTTGGTGTGCCCCCGACCCACAAGGGGCCAGAGCTGGGCTGTTTACAACCCAAGCGCTGTTTCCTCCCTGGAGAATCAAACCCCGGATCAGAGAGACGCTGTTTGGCCGGATTCTGGCTGAAGGAGGAGTTTAGTGTATTTCCCTGTGAGGGTGTGCCCAGCTCTTCTCTGGACCCTCTGGATCAACACATGCTTCCCAAATTGGCCCAGTCCTTGGGCACTGCTTGGTTGCTGCAGGGACAGGACAGGGGGCACATGGAAGGATGGAAGTGGGCGGTGCTTGGTGTGGCCAGGGAGAAGAGAGCAGGCCCCCGGCAGCAGCGGTGTCCTCAGGCCAAGCAGAACTTGCAGCTGAGGAACAGGCAGGGGGTGTGAAGCCCCCCAGTCGTTGCTGAGAGGGACCTGGGCCCGAGGCAGGTGGTGAAAATGCTTGGCATCCCCAGCTCTCTCTCTGGGCTGGGTCCTATGCTGGATGCCAAGGTGTGGCAGAGAACAGGACGAGCAAGCAGAGCTCCTGGGGGGGGCGGCCATGGGCCAGTCAGGGGAAGAGAATCGGCGGCCCTGCTGGGGAGGGCTAAGGGTGGGGCTGGCCTGGGCAGGGTGGGCACCCTCAGCGGTGTCCCTGAGGCTAGTAGGGCACTCACAGAGAGGCCACTCCACACTCTCCTGCCTCCTCTCCCAAAGGGGAACCTCAGGCTCTGGCTCTGCGGGTGGCTGGCAACCCCACGCTGTTAACACAGGCAAGCAGCAGGCTGGCACGGATCTTTACAAAGATAATCTTTATTGACAGTCACAGGCCACAGGGGTGAGCCCTGAAGTTTGGGTTCTGGGGTGAAGGAGAACCCCTGCATCCACCCTGGCTGAGGAGGGACAAGGTGGGGGGACCCCCATGGTGCTCGGACTCCAACCAGGGCCTCCCTGGCAGCCCAGGAGAGTGGGTGCCTCAAAGACAGGCCCCTTGCAGCGCTGACTTGGAGCCCACCATCCCCGGAACCTGTGTAAGCACAAAGCCAGGACCCACCCCCAGGTGGGCTGTGTCCTGGGCTTGTCACCGATGCCAGTGGAGGTTGAGAGAGAGCAGCTGCTGCCACGAAGAACAAAGATTCGCCGAGAACAGACTTGCCCGGCTGAGCTGGGGGCGCACGGAGGTGGGCCCGCCTGTGTCGGGTCAGCTGTCCCTGCCACCGCTACTTTTCTGGTCTGAGGCTGTAGCCTTGGTCAGGTTCCCAGCTTCCCTCTTGAGGACACTGAGCAAAGTCTGGGAGCTCTCCAGGATCTGGGGCCAGAGAATTGAAAAAGAGGCTTGTCACTGTGCACCTGCTGGGAAGGCCCCAAGGCCCGGCTGTCCTCACACTCAGGTGCGAGGACCTGGCCACGGGAGCTGTAGCCAACGGGTCCTGTGCTGGGGGAAGGGAGAAGCCCAACGGGACTGGCAGACGGGTTGACAGGCCCTCTTCCCTCCTGAAGCTGACCCAAAGCACTTCCTCCCCCCGACAAAGCCAGACTAAGCTAGCACTGGCCCATGCTGGGTGCTCTGCCCAAGACCTAGCTCCTCACACTCTGAGCAGAAAGAACCACACGATTAGCGAGAACCAGATAAAGACCAGGACCCAGGATGCCCCAGGCCCCCACAGGCAGCCCCACGGTCACCCCCGCAGCAGCCTGGGTGCCTCGATGCGCCTGGTCACGCTGCCCCAGCCCGAGATGCCAGCAGGGCACAGACGGTCCACAGCCCTGCGTGGCTACCCCCTGATGCTCCGCCTGGCCTCCCGAGCTCCACCTTGAGGTAGGCGGCCTCGGTCTCCGCGATGGTCCGGTCGAACTCGTTGCGAGAGGCAATCTTGCGTGCCAGGTTCTCGTTGACGCGGGCCAGCTTCTCCGTGAGCTGCCTCACCTCATTCTGCAGCCGCTGCTTCTCGTCCTCCTCCTGCTGGATCTGCCGGCACAGCTCCTCCCGCTTCTGGCACAGCTCCTCAATGCCTGCGGGGCCGGGCCGGGGCGCCGCCGTGAGCCCAGGGAGGAGCGCGGCGGCGGAGGGCCGGCCTCCTTCCGCCCGAGGAAGCCAGAGTCGGGCACCGCCCCAGAGCGCCCGGCGCGGGGCCTGCGAGGGCTCGGGCCACGGACACCCCGCCCCCGGCACGGAGGGCTCACGCCGCGCGATGCCCGCAGCGAGGCGGGGCCCGGGGGCACCCCGCTGCGAGCCGGGAACCCGGGCCCGCGCCCTCCCGACCTCCCCGCGCCCCTCCCGACGTCCCCGCCCCGGCTGCGGCGCTCACACTTGACCAGCTCGTTGTTGTAGTTCTGCAGCGCCGCGCCCTGCTGGGTCATGGTCAACGCCGCCCGGGGCCCCGCCACCCCAACCGCCGCGGCCGCAGCGCTCCCCGCGCCTGCGCACCGCTCCCCGACCACGCGCCAAAGTAGCGCGTCATCGCCGCGCGCCTTGTGTGCGTCATCGCCGCGCGCCGCCCCCAGAGGTGCGTCATCGCCGCGCGCCGCCCCGTGCCGATCGAGGAGCAGGGGCGGTGCAGATGGCGGCGGCGGCGGCTGCGGCGATGGAGGGGGGCAGCGACCCTCGGCCTGGACCGGAGTTGTTACTGGCCTGGAATACCGTGAGCACCGGCCTGGTGCCGCCGGCTGCGCTGGGGCTGGTGAGGCCTGGGAAGAGAGCGGCAGCCCCGTGCGGAGTTCCCGGGACCCTACGCGCTTTGGGGCGGCCACCCTCGAGTTCAAACGGCTCTGTCCCTCACGTGCCTGTGCCCTGTCCTGCCACCTTCTTCCACCGTTCCCTTTCGTTCGGCTCCGCTGGCAGTCCTTCCCTAGCTTCGGCCCAACATCCATGCACCATGGACAAGGGGCAGCGGAGTTTGCAGCCTCCCCTCAGCTTCTAAGCTTCCCTCCTCTCCCCACCTCGACGTTGTGTTCCCCTCTGCTCATGGTTTTCTGCACTCCAGGTGTCTTCACGGACCAGCGGTGCAGTCCCGCCAAAGGAAGAGGAGCTCCGGGCGGCGGTGGAGGTTCTGAGGGGCCACGGCCTGCACTCGGCCCTGGAGGAGTGGTTCGTAGAGGTGCTGCAGAACGATCTGCAGGCCAACATCTCCCCTGAGTTCTGGAATGCCATCTCCCAGCGCGAGAACTCTGCGGATGAGCCCCAGTGCCTTCTGCTGCTCCTTGACGCTTTTGGCCTGCTGGAGAGCCGCCTGGATCCCTACCTCCGGAGCCTAGAGCTGCTGGAGAAATGGACTCGCTTGGGCTTGCTGATGGGCACTGGTGCTCAGGGGCTGCGAGAAAAAGTCCACACTATGTTGCGCGGAGTCTTGTTCTTTAGCACCCCCAGAACCTTCCAAGAAATGATCCAGCGCCTGTATGGGCGCTTCTTGAGAGTCTATATGCAGAGTAAGAGGAAGGGAGAAGGGGGCACAGACCCGGAACTCGAGGGGGAGCTGGACAGCCGGTATGCCCGCCGCCGCTACTACCGACTCCTGCAGAGCCCGCTGTGTGCAGGGTGCGGCAGTGACAAGCAGCAGTGTTGGTGTCGCCAGGCTCTGGAGCAGTTCCACCAGCTCAGCCAGGTCTTGTGAGTACTCTGTCCCGCTGGCCATGCCGTGCTCCTTCCGGTTCCCCGCTGCTACCCTGGGTCCAGCGGGCCTCTGCAGGAAGCTGGTGAGCCGCCCTGATAGCCAGGAACATGACACAGGGAGAGTCCCAGGGACTCCTGTGCAGTGTGTCCTGGATACAGGCGTCTCTTCTGTCACTCACATCCAGTTCCACGGGGTCATGCTAAGGGCCCATGTGGCTTGTGTTGGCAGCAGCAAATTTCTTAGCAATTCCAAACTTTCTGGACTCTTCCACTGTGCTTTTGTCGAACCTGAGGAGGAATGATTCTTACTCTGTGGACATTCCTTGCCCTGTCATTGTGAACAGAAGCTTCCTGCTGCTTCTCTCGAGGCAGATCAGGTCGCTGTGAGGGCAAGCAGTCCCCTTTCTGGTTCTCTGGAGAGGGTTTTGTTAGAGACAGGTCCTGTTGTAGCCCTGTAGCAATCGTCACACCCTTGGTGGCCATTTGGGGTGACTTTGTCACATCGAACAGAGGCGTAGCGGTGCAGATAAGGGAGCGTTCTTAGTGGACTAAGGAGTGTCCTGTTGCTGGCAGGCGTGAGGAAGAGTGTGAAGAGCTTCTGTTGGGCTCATCCCAGCAAACTTTTCTCATCCCTCTTTTGAGTCCTTTTGCTTCTTTAGACCAGAGGCCGCACTGAAAGTCACTGCCTTTGCTCAGATCTCTGTGCGGGCACACTGTATGCCGTGGCAGCTGTACTTCTGCGGCCAGGGTAGCAATGTAATTGGTGGTTGTTTCAGAGCTGATCCTGGGAGATAAGACTTGGGCCCCGACAGCCACACCTGCTGCCACTTATCACATGGGGAAGGCCAGCTGGGCAGGGGCAGCAGGCCCGGGAGTGCTCCCAGGCTCCTTGAAGCCTTTGGCACAACCACCACCCCCAGCTGAGGATTGTGGGGTGTATGTGTGCTACATGCATGCTGTAGGCAGGTCCGTCCTGGCATGGGGCTGTTCTGGGCTAGAGGGGCCGGTGTGTGCCGTGGGCACCCGTGCCGGGGCTAGAGGGGCCGGTGTGTGCCGTGGGCGCCCGTGCCGGGGCTAGAGGGGCCGGTGTGTGCCGTGGGCGCCCGTGCCGGGGCTAGAGGGGCCGGTGTGTGCCGTGGGCACCCGTGCCGGGGCTAGAGGGACCGGTGTGTGCTGTGGGTGCCCATGGCCAGGGCTCTCCTCTAGACACAGGCTCAGTCTGCTGGAGCGGGTCAGTGCCGAGGCTGTGACCGCCACCCTGCACCAGGTGACCCGGGAGAGGATGGAGGACCGTTGCCGAGGCGAGTATGAGCGCTCCTTCCTGCGAGAGTTCCACAAGGTGAGGACCCCCCCTTGAGCTGGGCCCCTCTGGGAACTAGGGAGTAGGTTTCTGTCAAACCTGACACTTGGCTTCAGAAGCAGCCACAGCATGGTTGGGCCCTGGTGACAGTGAAGACACATCTAGGATGTGCTCATCAGGTCTGCACAGAATCCCACGGCCACAAGCAGTACCGGGCCAGGGTCCCGAGGGGCTGCTTCAGCCAGGTGTGGCGAGGCCAGGCCCACCAGAGGGGCCAGTGAGTGACCCCTTCTCCTGCTCGCTGCCCTTCTTGAGTGTGGACTTGCATGGCTGGTCCTTCATGGACTGGCCAACAGCCAGCCCACACCACAGTGGGGAGTCAGACACCCTTGCACCGGGCCTCCAGGTACCTGTGCTATTGGGGTGTGGTCTGGGGCTCTGCTCTGGTCTCCCAGAGCCGTGGGGGAGCTGGGCCCAGCCATGTGAGTCCTCCCACCCTGGCCCCACTTGACACCTGTCCTCTCCCCAGTGCTGCAGGGTCCACCTACTGAGGTGCAGATTGGCCGAGATGTGGGGCTTTCAAAGAGGGCGGGTGGGCGTCGCCCCATTGGTGGGGAGAGTGGGCGGTAGGTTGAAGAGGGTGAACCGTCTGTGCGTCTTGCCACCGGACAGCCGCCTGTGGGCGTGTGCACGCCTGGGCCCCTGTGGCGGAATTGCCGCTAGGGGTTTGTGCTCACTGAGATGCTCTTGTGATGTTCATGGGCGTGGCCGGTCACCCGTCTGGTCCCAAGGGCGGGTTTATTCGTTTAAATGGGGGCAAGTGTGCCTACCAGACACAGCACACAGGTCATGTGTGTCCGTCACATCTCATGCTAGGGTTGCTGTTGCCGCTGATAAGTGTGGACACTGGTGCGCGTGTGGGCACTGGGCACTGGCCTCGCAGGAGGGCCAGGATGGTCCCTTTGGGCTCCTCCCAGCCTCCGAGTCGGCCTGGCTCACCACGCCTCCCTGCGGCCCACACTACCGTTCTCCCGACAGTGGATCGAGCGGGTGGTTGGCTGGCTCGGCAAGGTGTTCCTGCAGGACGGCCCCTCCAGGCCCGCGTCTCCCGAGGCGGGCAGCACCCTGCGCCGCTGGCGCTGCCACGTGCAGAGGTTCTTCTACCGCATCTACGCCAGCCTGCGCATCGAGGAGCTCTTCAGCATCATCCGAGGTCCGCCCACTCTCCTGTCTGGAGCGCCCTCCCAGGGCCTTTGCTGTGTCCCTTCCGTGTCCATGTCTGGGTTCTCTGCGCATTTGTCTGTCGTGCTTGCAGGGCTGGTGCCCTCCCCACTGCAGGCGTCCCCATGTCTGGATCAGGGCGGGTGCAGCAGATGCGGGACGGTGCTCCTAAGTGTCCACTCCTGTGCTCCCTCAGCCTTGGCTCCTGCTGGGCACTGGCCCTGGCTGTCACTTGTGTCCACCCTGTGGCATTCTGGTCAAGTGCATCAGCACGCCAAAGTGCTGGGGGGATGTCTGGGCCTAGCGGGTGGTCTCTTCGTCCCGGGGCTGGCGAGCCCCCCACGGCGCATGTGTCCTTGTCTGTCCCTGAGGCATGTCCCTCTTCTTGTAGACTTCCCAGACTCCCGGCCAGCCATTGAGGACCTCAAGTACTGCCTGGAGAGGACAGACCAGAGGCAGCAGCTGCTCGTGTCCCTCAAGGCCGCCCTGGAGACTCGGCTGCTGCATCCAGGTGCTGTGTGCTGGCTGCTGCCGCCCAGCCACTCGGCCCTCAGGGCTGAGGCACTATCAGGGAGCTCGTGTCCAGGGAGCTGGAGACGCAGTCTCCAGAGCCTGTGAGCAGGGAGAGCCTGTGAGCAGGGAGAGCCTGTGAGCAGGGAGAGGCGAGGACGGGGGGACGGGGGGATGGGGATGGGCGGACGGGCGGCAAGGGGAGCAGCTTCTGCGGCCAGGTTGGTCTGTGGAAGGAGGCTGCAGCAGGGCCCTGTGGTCCACCTGACCGGTGTGGCCCCTGGGAGGCTGTGGTCCTGGGCGCGGCGTGACCACCAGCGTCTGTCCTGGTATAGGCGTCAACACGTGTGACATCATCACTCTCTACATCTCTGCCATCAAGGCGCTGCGCGTCCTGGATCCTTCCATGGTCATCCTGGAGGTGGCCTGTGAGCCCATCCGCCGCTACCTGAGGTGAGGGCCGCGGCTGGCCCAGGCGCCACGGGGGGCCCAGGTGTCCTGCTGAGCTCCCCTGGTCCTGGGGGCAGCGGAGGGTGTGCTCGGCCCTCAGGACACAAGGTCTCCCCCCAGCTGGGCTGAGTGCACGGGCTCAGGCCCGGGCTCCTTCCTTTCCGCTTGCCTGTGCTGGGCGCCTGTGCTTGTCACGGTGTCACCGTCCCCTCTGTGTGAAGCTGCCAGGGGCCCACTGCAGCCCTTCCTCGGCCTCCCCCTCTTCAGCACAGAGAGAAGCTCATCCACTCAGCCTTGCCTCGGTGCTGACCAGGCCCCCAGGCACCAACCAGGCAAGGAGAGCGGCTCCGTGCTGTCCCGGCCTTTTCCACTACAAGGGGCAGATGCTC